TATACATATACATACACACCCAAATACATATACAAATACATACGCATATACAAATACCTATACATTTACATATGCCTACATATATGCAAATACATACGCCTATGCATGTACATATACATATGTAAATGCGTATGTATATACAAATACATATACATATACAGATACAAACACCTATACACATATACGTACGTATACAAATACAGATATATATATATATATATACAAATACATATACACATACACATACATATGCATATACCTAAACAGATACTGTACATAAAATCCTGTGACCCAGGACCAGAACCCAGGATGTGTCAAAAAACGGAGAAAAAAAACAAAACAAAAAAAAAAAAAGAGTTCCGAGGTCCGCGCAAAGTTCTGGGATCGGCGCTGGAAGCGCCGAAAATGGTGCGTCCAGCGCCAATGCAAGAAATCTGTGCGGACCTCCGAAAGTGCATGTTTATGCAGCTGTCCTTCTCCGACCACACACCATCCTGGGGCCCAGGGTGGCCCTAGCCAGGCATGATGGTGTACAGATGCCATCTGTGGACACTGCGCCTACAGTGCACAGCTTGCCCCCCCCGAGCGAACGGGAGGGCAGCAGGGCTGAAGTGGGCCGAAGAGGGGGGCACTCGCTGTCGACCGCTGATTTCGCCGACGGCTGGTTTCGCCCGGCTGGTTTCGCCGCCCAGCGAAACCGGTTCCGTCGGCGAAACCAGCCCCGTCGGCGAAACCAGCTCCTGTCGGCGAAAACAAATGCCGTCGGCGAAACAAGCTACCGTCGGCGAAACTGCCCGACCCGACCCGCCCGCTAAGGTCCGCCCGCCCGACCCGACCCGCCCGTTAGGGTTCGCGCGTGCTCGGTCGAGCGCGCGCTACACTTTAATGTCCCGCCCGCCCGCCCCGACCCGCCCGTCAAGGGTCCGCCCGCCCGACCCGACCCGACCCGCCCGCTAGGGTCCGCCCGCCCGACCCGACTCGCCCATTAGGGTTCGCGCGTGCTCGGTCGAGCGCGCCCCACACTTTGACGTCCCGCCCGCCCAACCCGCCCGTTAAGGTCCGCCCGCCCGATCCGCCCCGACCCGCCCGCTAGGGTCCGTCCCCCGCCCGACCCGCCTGTTAGGGTTCGCGCGTGCTCGGTCGAGCGCGCGCTACAATTTAATGTCCCGCCCACCCGACCCGACACGCCCGTCAGGGTCCACCCGCCCGACCCGACCCGACCCGCCCACTAAGGTCCGCCCGCCCGCGCGACCCGCGTTAGCTCGGTCGATCGTGCCCCACACTTTAATGTCCCGCCCGCCCGACCCAACCCGCCCGTTAGGGTCCGCCCGCCCGACCCGACCCGACCCGCCCGCTAGGGTCCGCCCGCCCGACCCGACCCGAACGTTCGGGCTCGCTTCGGCGAAACCAGCGCCGGCGAAACCAGCCGCCGGCGAAACCAGCGGGGCGAAACCAGCGGGGCGAAACCAGCGCTGGCGAAACCAGCGCCGGCGAAACCAGCCGTCGGCGCAACCAGCGGGGCGAAACCAGCGCCCGCGAAACCAGCGCTGGCGAAACCAGCTCATGCCGACTCGCTCAAGGGGGGGAGACACAAACCTGTGGAGAAAAACATACACACACAAAAAAAAAAAAACACTGACCGGTGTGTTTTTTCCACAGACCTGTGAGTGTCGGTCGATGTCAACTCCGTCCCTCCCTCCCTCCCTCCCTTCTCCTCCTCCCTCCCTCCCTCCTCCTCCCTCCTCCTGCTCCCTCCCTCCCTCCCTCCTCCTCCCTCCTCCTCCCTCCTCCTCCCCTCCTCCCGCCTCCTCCCTCCTCCTCCCTCCCAGCAGTCGACGTTCCCCCCCCCCCCTGGGCCAGACCCCCCCCTCCCTGCAGGCGCCCCTGAGCAGGGCGCGGGAAGGACAAGAGCAGCCAGGTCTGCGCAGGATCGGATCGCGAAATCGGATCGGATCGCGAAAGGATCGAATCGCCAGCGAATCGTCCCGCATCGGGTCGGTATCGAATCGCCGCGCCCCGCTTCCGGCTGACCCTGGCCGATGCCAGTGAGCAGAGCCGGATCGCATCGAACTGGAATCGCGGCCCCAGCCGGCGCATCGAATCGCATCGAATCGGGTCGTGGGCGGCCCTGGCAGCGTCAGGCGGAGCTGTGGAGGAATTCCTCCTCCTCCTCCTCCTCCTCCTCCTCCTCCTCCTCCTCGTCGCCTGGGTATGTCGAGGCACGTGTACAGCATCTGCTCGAACTCCTGCCGGTCCACCTCCCCGCTGCCGTCCGTGTCGAACCTGTCGAAGCGCCTCCGCGCGTCGCGGCGGGCGTCACTGCTCCGTTGGGGGCCAACAAAAAGATACACCACCACGTCGATTCCTCCTCTCTCCTCTGTCCAGCGAGAGGGAGAGGGGGAGGGAGATGGTGGTGGTGTCTAATTTCGGGCCCCCCATCCGTTACTGCGCCCCCGCGACGATCGGAGTGCCAGGATGCTGTCGCTAGCTGCCTGGCAGGGCTTGCCTTCCAGCGCTGTCCCCCCGCCCAACCCCCCCTCGCAGCGGCAGACCCGGGTCCGAATCGGTGGGCATCGAATCAGAAAAAATGGGATCGGGTCGGAGCGCTTCTCGGATCGGCCGCACGGGCGCGCAGTCGGAGCCGAATCGGACCGACCTCGCCAGGATGCGCAACAGCGCCATGCAAGCATTTGTCCGCATCGGATTGCTGGGACGACATCGACATCGAATCAGATCGAACCGTCCGAAATCGACATCGACTTCGGTCGATCGGATTGAAATTGACCATGCAGGTCAAAAGTCAACCCCTCGTTGGGCCCCCTACATCTGTTCCAAGACGGTCTAAGACCACCTCGGTTGCCGCAGGCAGCTGGACAACCAGAGGTCTAGTTTGACGCCATTCAGCGCACCGGGCGAGTATCCAGTGCCAAGGGGGTCTCCCCGCCATTCAGCGCAAGGCAAAAACAGATGCCGAAAGCGGAGCCCAGAGGTGCGGAGGAGGTCCCAAAAACTGTTCTACAGGGCTACGTGCAAAATGCTGGTCGCCTACACCTTTCACAGATCAGCGGGACCACGTTGCCATTAAGGAGCTTAGTGCTTAGTGCTACTCGCGGTGGCATTGTGCTCCCGCCCCCCTTCGGTTCCGCAAGGATCGACCATCCCCTAGCCCCAGTTGCTCAAGAACCCCGTCCAGCTACTCAAGGATGCCCCCCGCCCGTTAAACGTCCCAAGGAACCCTATCACTTGACTTCAAGTTGCTGCTGAATGTATTTCGCGTTTACGGGGTCTACGACTGTTATTCGCTTGCAATTGGCTTGCCACTTGTGCGTTGGTTTTGTGTTTGGATCTGCTTTGTAATTAGATTGCCTTTGGTTTGCCTGTGGCTTACGAGTCGCCGACTTCTCGCTTTGCCGTTAGTAGAGCTTGCCAGCTCAGCCTACCACTAATGTGCCTCTGCAGCTGCTTCTGGTCTGCCGACCATCAGATTGCTGTGAGCGTGGTGCTGACCCACATTTGATGTTGCCTCTGACCTTTGCCTTTCGCTTGCTCACGACATTCGGGTGTTGCTAGAAGTACCCTTGGCCCAAGGTGCCCCCAGCTCTTCGCTCCATTTTGAGCCCCTGGGGCCCTCTGGGCCTCGTGAGGGGTGCTCTGGAGGCCGCTTGGGGTACCCCTAGAATCCTGGGGGCACCTTGGCCTAGGGGCCACTTCTAGCAACACCCGAGACGCGCCTCTGATCTGCTCGGGGCCTGCCGTCGGCACCGCCCTCTGCCCGCCCACCGCGCGCCCTCTGCCCATCGCCCTGCCCATCACGCTGCTGCGGTGGCAGGGATGTGTCCACATCTGCCGCCTGGGTGACGACGTGCTGGTGCCCCTGCGGGTGGTGGATATGGATATGGATATGGATATGGATATGGATATGGATATGGATATGGATATGGATATGGATATGGATATGGATATGGATACGGATATATCTATATATATATATATATATATGTATACATACATAGAAACATACATACATACATACATACATACATACATACATACATGCACGCATGCATGCATGCATACATGCATACATACATACATGCATGCATGCATGCATACATACATACACACATACATACATACATGCATACATACCTACATACATACATGCATACATACATGCATACATGCATGCATGCATGCATACATGCATACATACATACATGCATGCATGCATGCATACATACATATCTACATACATATATACAGACATGCATAAATACATGTATACATGAATGCACACATACACACACATACATACATACATACATACATACATACATACATGCATGCATACATACATACATACATATATACATACATACATACATGCATGCATGCATGCATGCATGCATGCATACATACATACATACATACATACCTACATCAATACATACATACATACACATAGACGTGCATGCATACACACACAAATCCATACATACATACATACATGCATGCATGCATGCATACATACATGCATACATGCATACATGCATGCATGTATACATACATCCATGCATACATGCATGCATACATGCATAGATACATACAAACATACATACATACATGCATACGTTCATACATGCATACATGCATACATGCATACATACATACATACATGCAAGGCCCTCAGGGCCCCGAGTGTATCCATCCATATTCACCTCCTGTGGGGGTCCGCGAAGATCGATGCCCTAGGCGGTGGTTATGGATCAATTCCCGCCTCGGAGCTGTGCCCGACACCGCCTGCCGCTCAGGGACCCCGCCTGTGCCCGCGGGCCGCCACCGAAGAGCAGGAGAGCAGCGAGGAGGAGCGAGGAGGGGGAGGAGGAGGAGGAGGAGGAGGAGGAGGAGGAGGAGGAGGACCCCGCCTGTGCCCGCGGGCCTGTTTCTCCCGCCCGCCCCGCAGCCCGCCCCTTCGCGCCGCGGCGGCTGCCGCGCGCCCGCGCCGCGTTCGCGCCGCGCGCAGCCGCCGCGCCCGCGCCGCCGCCCACCACCGCGAGGAGGCCGTGGGCCGCCACCTGCAATTGGGCCCAGGGACACACAAATAAATGCATACAAGTCCCAGAACTCCACAATATAATCGCACATGTTATGGGTTTTCGTCTTCCCCCTCACTTCCCACGTGTTCCAAGATTTTCTTGGGGATCGACGATCAGTTGTGTCTGTGTGCTCTTCCCCCTCCTGAACCTGCGTCAACTCCGCGCACACGCCCGGCCAGAGGCGCCGCGGCGCCCCGACCTGCTGCAGCAGCGCCTCCACCTGCAGCCCGCCGGCGGGCGTGCCGCGCGCGGGCCGCGAGGCCAAGGGCGTGCCGGGGGCCGCCGCGCACAGTGCGGAGACCGCCGCGGCCGCGAAGGGGCTGAGGAGCACGCCCTCGTCGCCGCCCCCCGACGCCTCCTCGCCGTCCTCGCCCTCGCCACCGCCGGCCTCGTCCTCCTGGGACGCCACCTCCTCCTCCTCGCCCTCTTCTGCGTCGCTCGCGCCCGGCCCCGGGGGATGGCTCATCATGTGCCCGCGCCGGGAGTTCCCCAGGCAATGCAGCAGCCGCATGCCTCGGCGGCGCAGGCGTGGGGCCCGAGGGCTTGGGGCCTCAACTGCGAACGGCCTCAGACAAAACAAAACAAAAAACTCAGCTTGGGGCCGTGTCCTCACGGAGCCCATCACTCACGGCGCCGATCCCAAACACCCGACGACGCGATCTTGTCGGCGCGCCGTCCCCAGGACGTCCCGACCCACTTCCCCCGGTCCAGCCTTTCGCCCTGCAGCCACTTCTGATGGCCCTGGGGACCGACAGAGGGCCTCAAAGGCCGAAATCGAGTGACAACGCCAGGATTGCAACATCTGTCGTGAACAACAAATGGATACAGCTGCTTCGCAAGCCTCTGGGGGACCAGAATGTCGAGCAGAGTTTCGAAGATCATCCAGAAGCTCGAACAGAATTCCGAAGAGAGTCCACTGGTGGCGACGGGCGCCTCCCAGCAGGCCCGGCGGGCCGAAAGCGAGGGAAGGGCGCTGTGCTGGCGTTGGTACCTCTTCCTACTGTAAAAGTCGAGTAGGAGATCGGCAACCGAATTGATCGACCCCCGAAGTAGACCTTGCGTCGACCCCTTACAAACAACACAAAAACGTATAACGTCTGTAGATCTACGCGTATTATTCCTGTTCTCGTAGACTCGACTGAAAACAGATATGGGGTATATCAATTATTAAGTTGATTTCCTACTCGATGATTAGCGCCGGAAATCTGGAACCTCTGAACAACGACGGAAGGGCACGGGCAATGGAATCCTCCTCCTCCAAGTCCTCCGTCTCTTCTCCCTCCCCCTAGGCAAGACAGACACTGCGCGCGACTGATCCAGCTACGTGCAATGCTGAAAAAAGCCAGACGAGATTACAAACGACGTGGGCAGTATCGAGCACTTGCAACACAGCATGCACATTGGCATGCCTGTACTCACCCCTCCCCAACCTGACCCGCATCTTGACCGTTCACGCGGCCCTTTTGGGCTTGCATGGATGAGCAGGGGCGCCTACGCGATCTGAACAGATAGCCTGGCATGCTGCGCAACAAACAAGAAGGACCCCCTCAGACAAAACAAATCTGACTAGAGAATGCGGCCCAAGCCCTGCCTCCTGGAGGCCGCGGGAGGACCCCGCCGCGCGCGCGAGAAGGGAGGGCGGCCTATCTTGAACATTCTGGAGCGCGGGCCAGGGAGGGCGACCCCTCTCAACCTGCGACGCGCGGAACGCGTCGTCGCCCCACCCAACCTTGGCAAGACATCTGATCCACAGGCCAAGGACCTGCAGGCGGCGATGGAGCAGGTCGCGATGACCCCGTGTGGCCCCCTCCGCCCGCATTGCCCACCGCGCAGAGAGATCAGCAGCGATGTCGCCTGCATTGAAGCGCGGCGTGGCGCGAGACATCTGGCAGTCACGAAGCCGCGGACGCGCTTCTATCTTGGCCGCCAAGCGCGCGAGATCTTCGCCGCCAAGGTCTTCGAGACGCCCCCAGACCCCACGCCAGAAAGTGGCGCGAGAAGAGGTACAGTAACAATATTCGGCCTCGCCGCGAACGCGGGCGCCTTTCCGCGCAAACTCACTGCAAGCGCGAGCGACGCTGCCAGGCACAGCGCGTCGCGAGGCAAACAAGAAGGCCACGGGCCCGGCTTTACTGATGGACGAAGGACGGCGAGGAGAGGGCCACGCTAAATTACAAGATGCGTGCGCGTAGCGCGACGATTCAGCGACCGCGGAAACAAAACAACGACAGCCCATCCGCAGCCGCCAAGTCGGGCAACTTCCCACGAAACAACACATAGTCGATGAACATATCTCCAGCACAAATTCTCGGGATATCCGAAAACCAAAACCTGGGTGGCACGTTCATCAAATCAGGCTCGTGAAGCTCCAGCATGGGAGAGAAACGCCCCCCAGCAAGCACGA